TAATAGGATTTTTCTGATATTCTTCCAAATCGGGGTTATGCTTGAGTCGGCCTCTCATTCTGACGATACCATCTGCATCTAAATATGGGGACAATCGGTATACTTTACTATCTTTTTTTACATTTTTTTTTAATCTTAAAACTTCTATCTCTTCATAAAACATTTCCTGTTGTACACTTCGTAACCAAATTTTTTCAGATTTTAACAATTCTTCTGGATACAATTCTGTGTACATTTTAGGTTTGTCTATCTTCCTAATGGAAATTTTGCAATTTTCTATGAATCTTAATATCCATGCAGTAGACCGAATAAGTTTTGTCCAACTTGAGTACTTTTTTAGATCCGGTAAAGCATTTTTTACAATTATTAATCCGACAAATATATTCTTTTGTTTAATTTCTTCTAAGCAAATTTCATTTTTGTTAAAGTTATCTACTGGCCAATACTCTTCGCTTTTCGTCAGAAATTCTGGACCTCTTAGCCAAACGTCGTTGTCAATATAATTCGATTTAGTTAGATTATCTGCTATATTATTTTTGCTATCTATCCATCTCCATTCTTTGTCATCACTTTTGTCTAAAATTTCTTGAATTCGAAAGGCTACAAATTGTTTATAACTTCTTGCGTCCGAACGAAGCCAAAGTAAAACTGTTTTAGAATCACACCAATACGTAATTCTTTCTATTGGAATAGTATGGCCTTGTCTTATGAGGATACCTAGCCTTACTCCTAATACAGCGGCCATTAGTTCTAACCTGGGGATACTTATTGTTTTAAGTGGGCCTACTCGGGCTTTAGCTGTTACAAACGAAGTTTTCCAGTTTTCATCTTGGTCTCTATATCTAAGGTATGCTACTGCTCCATATGCTGAGAGTCCAGCGTCTGTAAAGATGTGAAGTTCCGTAAAATTGCTTGGATTACTGAAATAAGATCGTGGTATTTCCAAACTCTTTATCGTCTCTAAAGAGGAAATCCATTTTCTAAATTTTTGAACCAAATCGTCAGTTATGTTTTGATCCCAATTTATATTTTGTCTCCAAACTTCTTGGAGTAGTATCCTAATATTTATCATAATGTGACTAATAAAACCAAGTGGGTCAAAAATTAACATGGATATTCTTAATAATTCTCTTTTTGTTGGAATTTTGCTTTTTGACAATATTTCTTTTTCAATTTTGTTAAAATAAAAGTCGAATCTAAATTTATCATTTTGAGAGTCCCACCATACTCCTAAGACTCTTTCAGTAGGCAAGGTCTCATTGTCTAAGAGATTCTTACATGACAGTGCTTTAAGTTCTTCAGGAATGCAATTTAGAACTTCTATAGAGTTGCAAATCCAATTGCAAATTTGGAAATTACCATTTTTGTGAATCTCTATAACTTCGTTAATTTTATTTATTGCCTCTTCCTCTGTATCTACACTGTCGAGGTAATCGTCCATATAGTGTTTCTTTATTATTGCTTCTGCTGCCACCTTATATTTATCCATATATGCTAGCGCATTTTTATTTCTTACTGCTTGAGCTAAACAAGGTGAGCAAGCTGCTCCAAATATCATTGAAACCATTTCGTAGGTTTCGATGTCTCCGTTTCTATCTTTTCTCCACAAAAATCTTTGTGCATGTCTATCCTCTTTTTTTATCTGGACTTGCAGAAACATTTCCTTTATGTCAGCAGAGAAAGCAATTTTCTTTTCTCTGAAGTTCATTAAAATTTCAATTAAATTATTAAAATAGTCTGGGCCTACTTTTAAATTGTCGTTTAAACTCACTCCATTACTTTTTGCAGCTGCATCGAAAACTAGTCTTAGTTTTCCGGGCTTATTAGGGTTAAATACTGCAAAGTGTGGTAAGTACCAGGTTTTATCTGTTTCTATCGTTCTTTCCTTGATACTTAATTTTCTTGCATACCCTTTCTCTACAAATGTATTTATTGCTTTGGTATAATTTTCTCGAAACTGCTCATCCCTGTCCATCTTAGTTTCTATATATTTAAGTCTATATACAGCATTCCTTTTACTTTCAGGAAATTTAACATCTTCTGATTTCCAAAGTAATCCTACTTCCCATCTATTTTCTTTATTTCTATTTATATTTCCAAATAATTCTGTCAGTTCTATGCTTTGATTTAAATCATTTCCATTCTTTTGTGGATAAATGCCATTCCAGTCACAAGAAAAATAATTTTTTATTAAATCATGCAGAGAATAATTGTTTTCTTGGACTGTGTGACTTGTAATATGAAAGTTGTAAATGTCTAAATGATGCTTATATGGCAAAGTACCATGTATTGCCCACCCCAACAGGTTCTTTGACAGAGCAGGTCCATCCCAAGATTCATATGCCACTTCTCGGCTAATAATCAAAGGCCAATTGTCCTGACCGATGAGGATGGTAGGCTGAGCATTTTTTAAACTTTGTACGTCAAAGTTTTCTAAAAATTTATAATATTTTTTTAAGTTTTGTACATCTACAGTTTGAATTGGCAGATTTAAATTTTTTACTGTTCTAGCATTATTTATCGGGTAGAATTTTTCATTTATACCTGATATCTTGAAAGATATTTTCCTTGACGTGTCTTCATTTTTAATAGTGTCGCTAGTCCATCTCATGGTAAAGGGTTCTTGCTCTCCTTGACATCCCAAAACGTCGGCAACACCTTCTTCAATGAGCGTTATAGAAGATCCTTCATCGCAAAGGGCATACGTCTGCAGTATTCCTCTAGGACCTTCTAAAATAACAGGAAGGACTTTAAGTGTTACTTTTTGATTAGGTATATTACCACTAGCATGTCCAACAAGTTGGTTACTAGATAAAGAAGAGGACGCAATAGGATCGTTTGTTTTATGTAACAACTTATTGTGATATTTAGGACAACTATCAATGTTACATAAAACTCTTTTGTAACATTTATTAGTTCTATGGTTGGGCAAAAAACAGGAAAAGCAAATTTTATTAGCAACAATAAATTTCCATCGACTATCTACATCTAAATTTTTAAATTCGTCACAGTTTTCTAATTTGTGTTCTTTTTTACACAAACTGCATGTAAATTTCTTTTCATTGGACTTAATGGTAAATATATGTTTTTGTTTTCTATCTTTTTTGTCAATTGCCGAATAAATATAACCAAATTCATCTGTAAACTCTTCAAGCCAGTTACTAAAATGTTCAATTGAAACCTTTTTTGTATTTAAATTTCTAATATATTTTCCCCATTGCAGTTTTAAATTTAATGGTAATTTGTCCACTAGTTCTCTTAGGAGCTGAGGATTTAAAAGGTATTCCACACAATCTAAACTTTTAAGAATGACTACGTTATTTTGCAGACAATTTGATAAGTCAATTATATTTTCTAAATTTTCTTCTCTAATGGGTCTAATATTTCTTATATACATAAATACCTGTTCCAAAATATCTTCAGTTTTTCCAAATCTCTTTTCCAAAATACTCACGATACGATTCACTTCTTCAGGGAAATTCAGTAAAGCAGCTACAGTCTCCTTTGCCCTTCCTTTCAATGCTTTCTGAAGTCTACTGATGTTTTCTCTATTGCTGAATTTACATAACTCAGTTGTCTCTTTGAATTGGCTAATAAAATTGGGCCATTCTATAGGGTTACCTGAAAAATATGGCAAATCCTTATTAATGGATTGTCGACTTACTAATTTTTCTAAATAATTTGCTTTATCGTAATCTAGCATTTCAACTTTCTTATCATAATTTGATGTACTTTCCTTAAACGATCTGTCTAAAGGTAGATTCTTGTTTTTTTCAATTTCTTCTATCCATTTCCTAACATAATCTGATTTAGGAACTTCTGATTTCTCTTCGTCCCCTGTACTGACTTCGTCTAGTTCAGCACCTCTAAGTTCTAGTTCTAACTGTATTTGTTGTCTTCTTCTCTCTAGTTTCTGTTTTTCTAATTCAATTTCTTTTTCCTCAATCTCTCTTAACTCTTTCATGGCTTCAAGTTCGGCCTGTAACTTCAATCTTCTTCTCGAAGACTTAGTACCCACAGACTGGCACTTGCTTTGGCTTTTTCTTGACATCGACTTGTCTTCATTTTGGGCTTGTGTCAGTTGATTGTCATCATTTTTGTCCGATGTTTTGGAACTTTCTCCAACTCTCCTGCCAGACCGCAGTTGGATTCCATCGTTTCTTGTCTCGGACATCTTCCAGAAGGTTCTTTTTAACTCGAAGGACCAATGTAACGCCTTTATCGGGTAATTATAATAGTAAAAAATGATACTCGCGTCTGACTATCAAAAAATACTATATTCTCAATTTCAAAAACCATAACAACATAAAATCATTTCATACAGGGTGTCATAAAATATAAACATAATTGCAATAAATAATAGTTTCTACAGATGTTATGTGGGTTTTATAAGATTAAAATAAAGAACAAAAAATTTAAATGTTATATAGGATCGTGACGATCCATTCTGACATGCGTTAAATTTTTCCAAGACATTTTTTGTGGTTCAATCCATTTACAGTACGTTAAACAACGCATCAGGCATAATAAAGATTAGATTATATTTGGACGTGAGAGAGATAAAGATAGTAATTAATTTAACCACGCTCTTTCGATAGCAAGCGTAGGATATTGTGGTTCGTACTCGGCGACGTATTCTATTTTCTCTATTCAATAGTATTTTGTTTCTTAATGTTCTCCTGGAGTCAGGACTGAAAAGTCCACATACTGTATACCACATGCATAAATTAGTTTTTTTAATTGTCAAAGTACATTAAAGAGTTAAAAAGGTATTTTTTTATTTCAAGCAAAGTCATAAAAACAGGATAATGAACTCTTCACATTTTTAAGATATTTATATCTAACGGTGGACATTCTAACTGGACATTATCAACCTCTTAAAAAAGCTTTAATGTATTTCCCCTCGTAACATGTATTTTACCAAGTCTCCTCGTAATAGTAACTTTAATTATTTTTTTTATGGCTGTTATTGTATTTTAATGAGATGGTAATTCATTTTTTTTTCTCTCAGACTGTTCTAGAAACATTATTATAATTTCTGTACTGAACGTGTGATTCCAAAATCCAAACGAACGATATGTAAACAATTTTTTTTATTATTGAGTTGAACGTTAACTTTAACCTCGAAATGAGTATTTAAGCATTATATGTAGTAAATACAATAATTTAAGTGACCAAATATCACATAAAAATGGAAGAAAATCCTAGTACAGAATTTTTAGAAAATTTTCTATTAAATTATACAGGAGGTGAAATAAAATTATTACAAACATATTACAATGAAGGAATAGCGTTGTTATGTATCAATCATGTTGAAAAAAGGAATGCCATTACCGGTAAGTAAAATATGAATATTCTTAAAACTTTATTCCGTAGCTTTTTATTAGAAGTTTTGAACCCACACCATTCTTCATTTTTTTATATAACGTATGTTTAGTTATAAATACAAACATGTAAATTTAATCCTAAAATAATTTAAAAATTCATTCAACAATACGAGCCCAGGGTCTTAATAGTTCGGGCAGGGAAAAATCTAAGTTTTTCTTCCCTTGTCTTCCTCAATAATTAAAATATGTGGTGTATTTCTACCCAAGTCGGTCGGTACCATATATAAAATAATATGTATTATTTTACCTATGGAAGGTACTGTTTAAATAGTTCCTAGAACATGATTTTACACAAACCTTATCGCTAGCCGATCAGTTTCTATTAAATCACTTTGCATTTGTAGGGGAAAGGGGGGGAATAAAGGCCGCTGGGGTAATGATAGCCATCAAATATTTACGTTCATCAAATTTCTAGAGGTGTTCAACGCCCAGACAGAGAACGCGCTACGTGTGACTAAGATAGCTATTGTACAGTCTGCTAAACAAGTTATTTTAAATAGTTTTTAATATTTTTAGGGCCATTCGCACCGCTTTTACTTAGCATCTAAGTGACACTTAAGAAGGCATAACCGTTTGCACCGTTATTAAAGTTCCACTTATCAAGGCGTTAAGAATCACTTTACTAAGCCCAAAAATTTTTCAGCTTAAACCATTACTTAACCTTAAAATGTTTAATTTTTATAATTTTTAGTGATGTTGACTGTCATTGTGTCATTGATTTATTAACATTTGTAAAATTGCAATACACAAAATGGAAATAATGGAAGATGATGAGGCTTTGAAAATGCTTGATTTCATTAATATTACGAAGAATATAAAATAATATATACAAAAAACGATTACTTTTACACTGCGATTTGAATTGGCCGAAGAAAATTCTTAATTGCCTTGATGAAATTAAAGCAAATTTATAGTATCCTTATAATAAATATGTAGGTTTCAAACTCAAATATTTTTACATACAACACAATTAAAACCATTTTTATAAAAAGTGTTTTTTTTGTGATTCTTTTTTGTAAAATTAGCATTGAATTAATACTAATTTTACTCTCATTATGGCTGTACTTCGTGCCCTATTTTATTACTTCTTAGTTCATCTATTTTTTTTAAATAGTCCTGTGATACAGGAGAGAGTTTTTTCTCTTCTGCACCTGTGACAATCATAACTTTTGCTGCGTTCACTGAGACATAACAATCCCAACCGATACCAATCGCTTTCGTTTTACGATACGTATTGCTTTATATCAATCATTTGGGAGCGTTTCATTTTTGCGCTAGTTTCTGCTTCTATCAAGAAAGATGAGCGGGAAACCTCTTAAAATTAACCTAAAACGCCTAAAACCAATCGCTATTTACGATTGCTAGAAGAACAACCTGGTTGTGCATTAATGTGATAATAATAAAAAAAATACTTAAATATTAAAATTATTGTAAATTGTTGATGAAAACTCCAAGTGGCAAATAAACAAATTCACTTTTAATTGCAAATACTACGTTTCATTAAATTAGAATTATCGTTCGACACAAATTTAGTTTTTGTAAATTGAGCGTACCGTTCAGTAAGCTGATCCCGCTACCCCAATCGCAGCAAGAATCCGATACACTCATTGAACGCAGCTTTCATTAAACATTCAAAATAAAATTCAAATTTGACATTAGTTCTTCTTTTTCTAGAAAAATCTTGACGTTGCCAAATCAATCCGACACTTAATTAATCGTTGCTTTCTAATAGGCTGGTGCGAATTAAACTACGATAAGTAATACTTAAATAATAAGTTTCACTTTACTAAGAGGACATTTATTCTGAAGCGGTGCGAATGGCCCTTAGGTAATTAAATTTTAAAAGTGTGGAATAGTTTAGGGATTAAATTGGTCTGATTGGACTGTCTTAGAACGTTTTTAAAAGCAGCTAAAGATAGTATGTAGAATTGAAAATAATTATTATGCCATAAAAGGTGTTTTGGAATTCCTTCAACCTTTTGAAATTGAGTCAGAAAATATAAATTTTATAGGATAGCGGAAAATACCTATAATTTTTTTGTAGGCCTTTGTAAATCGTGGAAATAGTTTACATTTTATTTCTACCTTATTAAGGAACATGGTACCTATTATTAATAACGGTTGTTTCTGAAACATTACTAAAATTTTCGAAATTTTGTTTTTCTACAAAATAATAAACTATACTATTTAGAAAACAATTTATTTCTCTTATAATTTTATAAAAAATAACAGGGGAATATTTACATTTCTTGATCTATTAAACAAAACGATAAATTATCTCGACGAATGACACCATGTTCTAGTACGGAAGCTAGCTTTACATTTTTGTTGGTGGTTTCATGGGCTTCATATCAATTTTTTGTAATTGTAGTTTACACGTACATATACCTCTTAACACTGGTTTGCTTTATTAAAAAAGTGTGTTGTTGTGATTTACGTCGAAATAAGTCAAAAACAACTTGAAACCCCATATAAAATCAAAAAGGAGAAACGGAAAAAAATTGAGCCTGTAAATGAACACAACTCAGAAACAAAAATAGCTATCTAATAATAAAAAAATAAAATTTGATTCTTGTGCAGCTTCATCTATATCAACTGTTTTTGGTTTTTTAATGGTTTTTCTTGGTGATGAAAATTCCGATATCTCACGGTTATCGATTCTTTTTTTCTCTCCAGAAATGCGGACGACAGTGTTTTTAGAGACTCCTGTGGCTGCAGCAACACGATCATTTACATTTTTAAATGGTATTGAAGGTGAATTAAAGTTTCCTTCTCTTCTCATAAACTCTATAACATTGGCTTTTATTTTCGCGAGATTGACTGTTAATCACGCGGCCTCTTAATTTGCTATTAAACTCCATACTTAGGTTCTATTAAACTGTAATGAGCAAAAAACACAAACGAAAATAAAAGAAATGTTTTAGCGAAATTTACATCTGACATTTACGTCTGAATGAAATAGTGAAATACTTGATGCGCAGAGTGTACTATCATTGCGTAAATCCGTCGGGATGCCTGTCAGTAGTGCTTTCTCTGTCTAGCCGTCGAAAGCCTCTAGAAATTTGATGAACTCTACGGCCTAATTATGGAATAGGCCTAATATTATTTCGTGTTTAAAACCTATTACGCCATCTATATTTATGTAGTTTAAATCAATTACGATGCTGTGCCGGTAAAGTAGGAATTTTTGACTATATCAGATTTTGTTGGTGTTGATGTATCAGTATCAGATTTTTAAAGGTATGTAGAAGCATGTAATTAAGTTTATTTATCTACATAATTGTTACCCATATGTTACATTTTTAATATAGTTTAAGCATACATGAGAAGTTCTTGCTTTAAATTAAGTAATTAATGACTATACCGCCACAACTCAAAAACCAAAGAAAATTATATTTTTAGTTCAATGGATGCAAAATATCATTAAGGTTTTACTTTAAATACCGCCACAAACAAAAATATCCTTAAAGGTGCCCGAAAATCATTTTAAATCTAGCCACAAACTGTGTCTAAAACTGCCTCAATTCGAGTTATTTTCTGCAAAAACGTCCAAATTTTTTACAAACTATGCAATAACTCGTTTTTATAATCGTAATCGTTAATTTTAACAGCAAAATATCGAAGTTTTTAAATAAAATATAAAGATTTTATGATAATAGAGACTTTCTCGAAACAATAGTATTTTAGTTGTGGCAGTATTTGATTGAACCATCGATGTATTTTGGGGTTAAAATAGCCACGTAAGTGGAGGTAATATTGGTCGGCCACTATTACCCCCCAGATTATTTTTGTATAATACAGAGTGATTCTTTATAAACTCTTATATTCCAGATGCCCGAGTCTACAAAAGGATACTTGACAAAGCACGATGGAATGCTGAACAACTTACTGTTGCAAAAATGCAATAAATAATGGCAGAAGCGTCCGTGAAGTTGCAAGAAGTTTTGCTATTCCCAGATCTACACTTCAACTACGACTAATTAGACGAAATGACGCACGCAGCGCAAGCTCGCCGACGCCAGGGATCAAAATTTTGGGGTATTCTTCGGGGATGCACATGCAGAGCGCAGTGTTCAGTAGCGTCCGTCGGTCGGTCTACCTTAAATCGCGATAAAAAGTGACATTAGCATTAGCGGGTCTTGCCGTGCCGCGGCCACATCATTTAGTATAAATAATGATAATTATTATTATTATTATTATTATTATTATTATTATTATTATTATTATTATTATTATTATTATTATTATTATTATTATTATTATTATTATTATTATTATTTTTGTTATTATTACAACATGGTCAACGTATTATAGTAAACAGATGTATACCGTTTTAATTTTTTTTTATTTGAGAGTAAAGGGCCCCCGCAAGTCGAGGGCCCCTAGGCTTTAGCCATGGGCGTCGTTTGGGGGGGGTGGCGGCAAGGGGGGGTGGCGGCAAGGGGGGGTGGCGGCAAGGGGGGGGGGGCAGTTGCCCCCCCTGGCTTTTACGACTTAATCAACAACGCGTAAGATATGCATTACGAATAAAAATCTCATAGAAATAATATTCAGGATAATATAGTTTAAGAATATTATAGGTTGAATATATTTATTACATATCTGGATTCCCTTATTACGTTGCTTATATCACGCTTTTCCGAAGACTCTAGTGTTAGTTTTTCCTTAAGCCTGTTACATCCAAAAATATAAAATATACTTTTTCACTGCCCATCAGAAAATGAAAATATTGGAAAAATTTGGAATTAAATAAATAAATAAATAAATAAATAAATAAATAAATAAATAAATAAATAAATAAATAAATAAATAAATAAATAAATAAATAAATAAATAAATAAATAAATAAATAAATAAATAAATAAATAAATAAATAAATAAATAAATAAATAAATAAATAAATAAATAAATAAATAAATAAATAAATAAATAAATAAATAAATAAATAAATAAATAAATAAATAAATAAATAAATAAATAAATAAATAAATAAATAAATAAATAAATAAATAAATAAATAAATAAATAAATAAATAAATAAATAAATAAATAAATAAATAAATAAATAAATAAATAAATAAATAAATAAATAAATAAATAAATAAATAAATAAATAAATAAATAAATAAATAAATAAATAAATAAATAAATAAATAAATAAATAAATAAATAAATAAATAAATAAATAAATAAATAAATAAATAAATAAATAAATAAATAAATAAATAAATAAATAAATAAATAAATAAATAAATAAATAAATAAATAAATAAATAAATAAATAAATAAATAAATAAATAAATAAATAAATAAATAAATAAATAAATAAATAAATAAATAAATAAATAAATAAATAAATAAATAAATAAATAAATAAATAAATAAATAAATAAATAAATAAATAAATAAATAAATAAATAAATAAATAAATAAATAAATAAATAAATAAATAAATAAATAAATAAATAAATAAATAAATAAATAAATAAATAAATAAATAAATAAATAAATAAATAAATAAATAAATAAATAAATAAATAAATAAATAAATAAATAAATAAATAAATAAATAAATAAATAAATAAATAAATAAATAAATAAATAAATAAATAAATAAATAAATAAATAAATAAATAAATAAATAAATAAATAAATAAATAAATAAATAAATAAATAAATAAATAAATAAATAAATAAATAAATAAATAAATAAATAAATAAATAAATAAATAAATAAATAAATAAATAAATAAATAAATAAATAAATAAATAAATAAATAAATAAATAAATAAATAAATAAATAAATAAATAAATAAATAAATAAATAAATAAATAAATAAATAAATAAATAAATAAATAAATAAATAAATAAATAAATAAATAAATAAATAAATAAATAAATAAATAAATAAATAAATAAATAAATAAATAAATAAATAAATAAATAAATAAATAAATAAATAAATAAATAAATAAATAAATAAATAAATAAATAAATAAATAAATAAATAAATAAATAAATAAATAAATAAATAAATAAATAAATAAATAAATAAATAAATAAATAAATAAATGGCTAAATACCAAACGTGGATAGCTAACTGGAGTACGAAAGAGCTTCCTGCACACAATGATATAGCGTCCAAACATTGTGAATTTTATCCAGACATACAAAGAGCTTTAAAAATATGTATGGCTCTTCCACCAATGAGTAGTGATGTGATCATTGGAATGGTAAATCATTCGAATATTCGATTATTACCATCATCCGAATTATTTCGATTATACCAATATCATTCGAATCATTTGAAATGTCTGAAATTGTAATAAACGAACGAGATTCATATTTTAAAATTATGGCAGTACTCATTTCTCTCAAAATTTTCATGAGAAGTGTCATACGTTAACGTGAAATTAGTATTTTTAAAACCAGTGAAAACTAACTGTTTTTCTCAGTTTTTTCGGGATAATTAATATACTCCTAAGAATTTTAATTCTTACTGGCTTTCAAAATACTGTTTTCACGCTGAAATATGACATTTCTTACGAGAGAAATCATTTAAAATCGTTTGAAAAAAGGTCACCAGGTGATAAAATATGGAGCAGAATAGGCACTCAAAGTTGCTTATTTTCTTCCAGTAGGATACACATGCAACGTTTTTGCGTCTTTTCTTTTAGCGTATCGCGTTCTAATTGGATAGATCTCTATTAAGTCGGGGAACCACCCAATCACTAAAAAGCAAAAGGGTTGCATAATAAATAAAAGTAAATATTGACGTATGACGTTTTAGACTTTGGTGTACTGCGTTCTAATTGGATCGTTAACTGTCATACATTGATCTTGATCTACCTAATCATTGATGATGGCATATAATAAATCATTCGAATAATATGATTCGAATACTCGAAGAATTCAAATTTTAATCATCCGGGTATTCTATTATGACGATCATTCGATTATGTCCATCACTACCAACGACATCGTCAATCGAAAGAACGTTTAAGTTCTCTAGGGCGATATTTTGTACTTTTGACGCATCAAGTACACGTATACATTTTACTTTTTTCTTAAAGTATAGGTAAAAATTATAAAATAAGCCTTTGATTACTGTATATGGCTGAAATGCAATCTTGTGACCTATTGATAGAAATCAGTAATTCCTATGGGTTCTTTCGAACCAAAAATAAAGAAAATATAAATTATAATCGCAAATATACCAATTATTTTTGTTAATACGTTTTGATTCTACGTTATTATATAATGGTAATGTTTTTATTTTGACATTATTTAACCTTTCCTTTAATGACAACTTAATAGGCTTAGGCAACATCTCATTCATTTTTTCGTTAATACCTGCCTGTTTTATTATTGATTTTTATTGATTGTATGTACTACTTTTTTTTAGCTGAAATAATAAAAATATTTAATAATAAATAATTTTTTTACTTGTTTTATAAATCCGTAAACTCTTTTTAAAATCAACATATATATTTTTTAATTACGAATTTTATTAAAAATTGTATTGTCAGTATGCGCAAATATCGTCCGTTAGTTCATAAAATAATTGGCGATACTGTCACGCACGGAGCGAATAATGAATGAAAATAGGCTGACTGGCTATGCATGTACATCGAAAAATAATCAGAGGAAACAAAAAGAAATTATGTTTTCAGTTATCGATGTTTTTGGTAAAGAAAAAGGAAATTTAAAATTTCTCGTTCTCCTAGTGTTTTTTTGTGTTCATCGACGTGTTTGAGTGTTTTTTATGTTTTTGTGTTTTTATTATTTTTTTTATTATTATGTATGGCTGTGTGTCTTCTTGTTCATATTTTTCTTTTATATCACACTCTTTGTTTCTTAAAAATGTGTTTTAAGTTTTTTGTTTTTTTTTATTTTAGTTTTTGTAATTTTTGTTGGGTTATTTTATTTATTAGAGACTTGTTAATTTATATTGCTCTTTATTTTTTATTTTCTTTGTTTTTCAACAAATACACATATTCTAAATTTTTTTCAAACTTTTGCCCCTCCCTATAGAATTATGTAACGACGCCCATGGCTATAGCCTATCTAGCCTATTGGATAATCCGGCTCTGTCCTTAGGGATAGGTTCTGGGACTGATTCGTTTCAATAATTACATGCACGTGTTTCCATTTGTTCTGCCTTAATCGTTTACTTACATGCTGTTACAAAGAATAATCCACAAAAATGTCAACAGACAAAGACAGAGATACGAGTCATGTCAATGATAACTACGCAAGGTTTTGAATTAAATACAAAATGACATTTAAAAAGAAGAAGAATTATACTCTCGACATACGTGAAGTTTTCCTTAGATTTACACATTACCAATAACTCCATAAACACTACTATTTAAATGTTTACATTTTAGGAAAAATGTTAGTCGATCTGAGAAATTGCGTATTAGAGCTGGAAAAATGGGAAAATGGCAAAGCTGTCATACTATATGGAGAAGGTATTGCTTTTAGCTCAGGAGGTGATCTTAATTTTGCCAGAACTGAGAATAATCCAACTTCAGGCTTTTATATGAGTTACTATGCGCACGATACACTTAAGAGGTTCAGAAAACTTCCTTTCGTAACTGTTAGTTTGGTACATGGCCCGGCTTTAGGAGGAGGGGCTGAATTAGCGGTATATTCAGATTATGTTATAGTTGCTGATGATGTAAAATTAGGATTTGTTCACGGTAAAATGGGAATTGTGTCTGCATGGGGAGGAACCACTAGGTAAGCAGAAGCAAATTGTACTGTATGAGATTGTTTTTTTGCGCTACATTGATTTCCGCAAATTAGAAGGATATAGCTCAGATATTTAACAAAATTGATGATTTTCAATGTACACGAATGAGTTACATAGTCAGTGGCGGCTCGTGATAATTTAAAATGGGTGTTCACTTTTTTCAATAATTTTATCATTTGTAAGTTCGGTTCAAAACTTTGTACAAGAGCCAATATTAAGTGTAGTTATTATTATCAACATCATACTGTTTTCAAGCACTACAACTATTAATAGATGAATATTTTAGTAAGTGTAATATTTGTTTTGTTTTTAATACATTGAAAACCATCTATAAACATTATTAATTAGTAAACTGACTTTTCTTCATAATTTGAGAATATTTTTAAATATATATCAGGTTATGTAGAAAGCTTGACATTGATTTTTGTGTAAAAAATATATGAAACTTTACCTACCATTTTTCAGTTTTTATTGTAAGTTTAATTATTAGAGAGTATTGCAAGTTCACTTAAGGTCAGTCACTATTAGTGCCGCTCTTATTTTGACATCTGAGCATGCGCAGATCACTAACTTTAATAAAGTTTGTGCCTGTCCTTAATAGACCCAGACAGCACACGACATCTTAAAGACGTCTGTTTTATGTCGTAGTTATGACTGAACGCCTAAAGACCTAAAAAAGACGTTGTAAAGACGTCTTTATAAAGACGTCTTTTAGGACATATAAACAGACGTCTTAAAGACGTCTTTTGAATGCCTATTTAAAAAATATAAAAAATAATGGTAACTTTAAAAAAAGTACTGGCTTACTTATCGTTTCTAATTTCACAAAATATAAATTTATTTTTAAATTTTTTTTTATTAATTTACATAATTTACTTATTTTTTTTTATTTATTCACGAGCATTTGTTCATTAGAGTAAATAAATATTTGATAACATAAAAATAATAATAATAAATATAACTCTAAATAAAATTAACAATTAAAACATAAGACAAATTGAATTACGCGCTCTTTCACCTTGACCGGAACATGGTTCAACGATCGAAGCGAATGTTTTTATTATGCTTTGTCTTTTTTCAACAGTAGAATTTAAACAAGGACGTGTATCTGAATGTGAGTATTATTGGGGTTCCGTGGTTCGTGGCGATCTGAGTTGTCAGTTGTCCTTTCGTTGTCATTTGTCGTTGATGTTGAAAATGAACGCCGAGAGGTTAGTTTTTGTTGGTGATTCGTTGATTTTTTATTTGTGTCTTGTGCCGTGGATTACTGTGAATTTATATAAGCATAAAAGTTTACTGCATATACTGAAAAACCAAATAGAAGAACCCTTATTAGTGTTTTAAGTACGTCTAGGCGTCTAGAGCTGACTTAGAAGCTTCATCGGATGTAAATATATCTGAATTAAGAGTTGAAAGTACAGGAAGATTGCCATTATTTGACCACCCTTAACCCACACTATCTACTGAAAATCCTATTAAAGCGAATTTGACAGAGTGAGCTATAATGCATAATATTTTACACAGCGCAGTTAAAATTATTGCAACCCAGACTGGCGGAGGAAGAATCCAAAAAAAAATTATTTGTAATATTACTTTTTTTAACGAAATGTTTCAGTGTTCTGTAAATAATAATGTTTATAGAAAATATGTGTTTTATTTTGTATAGAAGAAATTTACAGAAGCTTTTAAAACTAAATCCCAGAGTACGTCTTACCAATGTCGAAAACCAGACATATTCAAGATGTCTTAAGAACGTTACCTTTTGTAACATCAGACGTCTTAAAGATGTCTTTAAGACGTCTGGCCGGCGTCATAAGACGTCTTTTAGACGTCTGTTATGTCTCTGACAGACGTCTTATGGACGTCTTAAAGATGACTTTGTGCTGTCTGGGGAGAGATATTGCAAATTTCTATAAAGCCAGCCACTAATAGTGACATCGTAATTTGAGTCAAATAAATTCTATAATAGTACCTAATATTAAAGAGGCATTAGAAATTATAATTTTGGAAGGTTTAAATGACTACCTGCTGCCCTTAAACATAATTAAGGACAGACACAATCCTTAATAAAGTCAGTTTTAGAACATAAACATCTGCGCATGCTTAGATGTCAAAATAAGAGCGGCACTAATAGTGACTGACCCTAAGTGAACTTGCAATAACTCTCTTAATAAGGACAGACATAATCTTTATTAAAGTTAGTGATCTACGCATGCTCAGATGTCAAAATAAGAGCGGCACTAATAGTGACTGACCTTAAGTGAACTTGCAATAACTCTCTATTTTCACAATTTGTCACAGGTGTCAAATAAAAAATATATTTTTTAAATACCTTTTATTGGAAAATAAAATAAGAACTAAAATGTTTTAAATGTTTATTTTATAAGATCAGTCCCATTACAATACATACTATTACGCAGATACAAACTAGAATAAAGATATATAATGCCTGGCATTCTAAATGATACTCTTCGCAGTTTAACAGACCCCCTTAACTACCCATTTTCTACCAGATTGTTTTCACAATCAATAGGCCTCATCTCCTTATAGGGCTTGATTTTTTCTAAAAATTTCATGTTGATATCGCTTTTCATTTTTGATTTTTTTTTAATTTCAACCCCCCTTAAATCCCCCATATTTAATCAGATTTTTTTTTATAATTAAAGGGCTTCTTTTCCATTTAGAGCTTGATGTTTGCTAAAAAAATTAAAGTTGATATCATTTTTCTTTTTTTAGTTAGGATTTTTTTTAATATTTTAACCCCTCTTAACACTTAATATATTCACATTTTTTTTTTCAGGATCAATAGGCTTTATCTTCTTGTAAAGCTTAATTTTAACTTAAAATTTCATGTTGATATTGCTTTTCGCTTTTAATTTAGGATTTTTTTAAAATTTCAACCCATCTTAACTCCCTATTTTTAATCAGATTTGTTAAAAATCAATAGGCTGGCCGCTTATAGAGCTTGATTTTTGCTTAAAATTTTCAAGTTGATATCACTTCTCGTTTTTGAATTATCATGCAGACACAAAACGTGACATCGGACAGACGGACAAAGTAAACCTATAATACTCTGTAATAGAACGGCATTATCTTGCAATAAAATGTTAATTTCAAAACACTTTTAAGAAATTTTGACTAGCTCATAGAAAAATAAAACCAAACATTACTTACCTTTAATCAAATTGAAAAGAAATGAGCACATTGACCATTGTTTTCTCAGTCGTGAATTCGGCTTTTCTAATAGACACCTTTGGGATAATAGTTTTCTGGGAAAGAGGGGCGCCAATGATTGTCTTTTTTTATAGAGAATTATAAACTCTAGCTTTGTCAAAAAGAAATTAATAAAAACTTATATATATAAAATTCAATTTGAGTAAAAGAGAATTGTTGTAACCTTAAAAAAAATAAAAATCAACATATAAATGAATTTGTTTATTTAATTATACGACATGAATTATTTTACAAAAATAAAAAAATACTGAAATTTTTTAAATATTGATTTTTTTATCATGCTGGTACCAACCATGGTACCAACAACTATTAAGTTAAAACCCGTATTATACCATAATCAATAGGTCTTTAATAGCCTCGTGAATTAATTATCGCTATGTAGATATATGTAGATCTTCGAAGTTAGGAATGTCGCCATCAACGATAGCATCGGTGGGTCTAGGACATTTCAGGGCCGCCGATTCAGGACCGCTGTTTCAGTGCCGAGACGTTTCAGTGCCAGGACGTTTCAGTGTCGGACGTTTCAGTGCCATAAAGATTGCTTTTTATTAAATAATGATAATTTTTAGCAAATGACATTTTTTAAATTATACGATATACAAAGTTAGGTATACAAAATTAGATGATATACATGGTTTGATTTTACACATAGATATTTATAAATCTTTTTTTGTTCGTTTTCGAAACGCATTTTTTTTTTATTTTTTAAAATAAACTAATTTCTAGGAATTCAAACTAACAAGGTTAGTCTTGAGTACATAAATTAATTGACAGGTAGAAGAGATCATCCGAGGATTAAGATAATTGCTTAGTTAACATGTCTAAGTCATTAGTCTTGAGTACCTACATACATTATTTGACAGGTAGAACAATCATCCAAGGATTAGGTTAATTAGTCAACGTTTCTAAGTCATTATAACAATATAATCTCGTTTAAGAGATAGAGTAATTGCAATTATAAATTTTCAAAACAAATTTAATATTTCAATGTGTTATTTGTGGACCTCATTAACTATACATTAAGTAAAGGAAAGCAAAGTAAAATTATTATTTAAAGAAATATTTGGCAAATTTTTATTCATTGTTTTAAATAATTTCGAAAGTAGTATTTGCTGTTGATAGTGGTGACAATACTTTTATATTTATATATATTTTACCAAAATAAGTGTTAAAATGGAACCCACAATTTTAAGCTCAAGAGGAAAAGCAAAATTTGCTCATAACGATTTTGTATATACTTTTGAAAAGTGTTCTAAAACGAATGAGCGTATTAAATTTTGGCGATATGAGCAACAAGGACGATGTAAAGTGCGGATTCATACCGAAAATGGAGAAGTTATTAAAGTCATTAATATCCATTCTCATTCCTCTTCGGCAGCAAGAGTGGAAGTTGCAGAAGTTATTACAAAAATCAAACTTCGAGCAGAAAATACCGTAGAAGGCACAATAAATGTGATTAATAATTGTCTAACGAACCTAACTCAAGGTTCCGAAGCCACAATTCCCAATATTGCTGCTTTACGAAAAGTTGTTAGGCGTAAAAGGAACACAACAAATACAGCACCGGCAGCATAATTTAAATCCAACTTCTATAAATTGTGATTTTGAACAGGCTGCTTTCGGTGCAATGGCTCAGTGTTTTCCAGATGTTTCCATTAAAGGTTGCTTTTTCCATTTGGCACAGAACATGAGAAAACATATTGCAGGGTTGGGTTTTATCAATCGGTATAATACTGATCCAGACTTTTGCCTG